GGGGGGGGGTCGGGCTAGAAGATCTACTAGGTCCCTTCCAACCCTAAAATCTATGAAACTTTGGACAGAAGAATGGGTAAGTAAGTTCATGGAAATGGATTTTTTTTGTCCTATTTAAAAGTATTTTCCTACCATTTCCCAAGTTATACGCCAATGGGTCAAAAAGTGAGTGCAGAATGGGGCATCTCTCAATTAAGGCCATTTTGTTTTAATTGCCTATTACCATAAATACAATTGGCACATAAATACAAACACCATATTATCTAGCATCAGCTTATATAACAAGTCAGAGGTAAACTCCCAGGCTAAGTACAGTCAGAAAGTCCAAGCCTGAATTGATTCTATCTTTACAAGTTAACCTAAGATGCATAGATTGAACTGATAAAGCTCTCTCTTGATTCTGGAAATGCAGCCACATGCCTGCAATGACCCAAAGCCAAAAGCTGGGAGGTGCTAGACCACACCTCCACGCTCAGTTGGAAGAGACAGCTTGGGCCAAGACTAGGCTGCCTACCCTGCAAGGGTGGGGTTGCAGAGGAGGTGCAAAGCATCCTGGGATGGTGGGGGACTCCAAGTCAACTTGGACCTGGAGGAGAACTGAGACAGAAGTTCAATAAACCGATTTAACCTAAAAAAAAGAAATCAGTAAAGTCTAATACTACATTCATCCAGGTTTATTTTAAACCAGTTTCAGCCATTTTGAAAGCAGTTTATGTACACTGAACCTCTGTGTTACAGATTTGAAATGGTTTCTGATCACTTATACCAGTTTGTGTGCAATTTCTGTCCCTAGCCACAAGCTATTATTTCAGATGCAGGAGAAAGGAATAAAACAAACAATTATCTAAACAATATGTAGGTCTTGTTAGTTCCAATTTTTTTCATCGTAACTCTCAAGAACAGGATCAAGCCAGTTTTAAATGGGGATTAACATAAAACATAATTAATAAATAAATAAATAAAACCCCCAAGAACCAAAACAAGTAGAACTGGATCACAACATTTATTTAGGTTAGCCAGATGGACTACACTTGGACTGTAATATAAAACATTTTTAAACTGGTATTTTTATACTGTCACTTTAGAACACTACTCTAGATGTTGATGGGCTGGCTCAAATAATCATACATTGTTTATTATCAAAATGATGAAGATGCCTTAATTTAAATAAAACAAGTTCTGTCACTTTTCCAGCACCACAACCCTTATGGCGCTGTTAACTGAGAACTTCTGAGCAGTAAAATGGGGCAGATGCTGCAGGTTCCAGACTGGTTTGACTGGCTGTCCTGTGCTACTCATGGGACATGAGGGCCAGATGAGTGACACCCCTGATTTAAAACAATAAAAAATAAGAAATAACAAATGAAGGAAAAGAAAAGAAACAGGGAAATGTAAGGATTAAGTTCTTTGAGACTCACACGAACATCTGCCCTGGAAAATAAGGCTGGCTTCCACATTTACTTATTTCCTACCAACAATTTACTATATTCAAAAAGTTGCCGCTAATGTTAAGTAGGTGACTGGTACCACGCTGTCTTGCTAATTTACAAGTTACAGTTAACACCTGGTAACTTTTACAGCTTTACAAAACATACATTTTATTTAAAAAGAAAGCAAGCAGTTTCTGCTTTCACTGTTCAAACAAATCCAAACAGGATTAAATTAACTATGACTACACAGGGATGAAAAAACCAAAACCAAAGCCAAACAACTCTCTCCCTGAGCTAAATTTAGAAAACACTATCAAATGCATGAGATAAAGCAACAGAATTCCTTCCTCTTAAACTTTTCTTAAATATAACGCTAGTAGATACCAATTTCTTTCAAACAAGTGAGGTTGATAC